ATATCTCCGTAAATTTATGGAGGTGTTTTGGTCAATTTATATTTTGCTAATTATTTTTTTCATATTTTTATTAGTTATGCCTTGTTAAGATGTACACACGCTCCAAATTTCAAGTAATTTGGATTTGTAGAAAAAAAAAGTGAAAAACGAAATACTACTGGACAACTGTAACGGTGCGATGAAGTTTGGATGGTGATAAGAGTAGGCGAAATCACTGTTCATTTTCGCCTATAGGTGTTGGGAAGAGTTTTTCATATATATAGGCAAAAATGAATAGTGATTTCACCTACCCTCATCACCATCCAAACTTCATCGCTATATATATGGAAACTCTTCCCAACGCTTAGGCAAAAATAAACAGTGACTTCGCTTACCCTCATCACCATCCAAACTTCATCGCACGGTCACAGTTGTCCAGTAGTTTTTTAATTTTTAGTTTTTTTTACAAATCCAAATTCTTCAAAATTTGGAGCGTGTATACATATCAATAAGGTGCACTTAATACTTAATAAAAACATGAAAAAAATAATTCGTAAAAAATTAATTGACCAAAATACCCCTAAAAATTTACAGGGGTATTTTGATCTACATTTATAAATTGTTTTTTTCATATTTTTATTAGATGCGTCGCACTAAGATATACACACGATCCAAATTTCAGATCTTTCCGATTAGTAAAAAAAATAAAAATTGAAACATTATTGGACAACTAGAATCGTGCGATGAAGTTTGGATGGTGATGAAAGTAGGCGAAATCACTGTTCATTTTCGTCTATAGGCATTTTGTAGTATCTTCATATATATATATATATATAATGGATTTTGTCAGCCTACGGGTTAAAAGCGACAGTATTAGCCAACGGTCCAGATTGATTCTGAACCGATCTATTAACCGCGACTTCATTTCGTATTTGAATTTTTTAACATAGGGGATAAAGATTGTGTAAAATACCTCTAAGGGTCATAGGGCGTCCTGTCCGACAACGCCTGGGATAAGGATGGTACTTGCCACCAAGGACAGGCCTTGTAGTGTCTGCACTCTCATCCGGGTCGCCAAGATCGTTGTATTTGTCGTAGTCATAAATCCTCTCAAAATCCTTTCTCTCCCCCTTCCCATTTCCCCTTAGCGTCTCCAGCTCTTTCTCTCTCAGCTGCTTCAACCCTGCTGGGGTCTTCGGTGGCAAATACGACTGTTCACAAATTGCAAAACCATACACATTTGCAGTTGAGTGGAAAGGATATTAAGAGAGAGATGGTGCTTTGTTGTCGCTGTTTTGTTGTTGTTGTCTTCGTTATTACAACGATAATTATTGATCGGACTCAGAACCGCTTAAATTGGATCAAGGCGAGGCTCCTAGCCGTGTTCGACTACTCGGCCAAGGCCGAATCAACTATTCGGTCGTCTGCTAGGGGTCGCCCTGATGGCGAGCCTGACAATCCCGAGTTGGGTGTTCGACTCTAAGATTTTAAAAACATTTCAAAAAATTCAAAAAAAAAAAATCTATTTCTAACATGTTTTGTTTTAGATTTTTTATCATTTTGATAAAGATTGAAAAGTATTTTGACCATGAATACTTATTTTTATAATTTCCCTTCTTTTTGTATTATTTTGAAAATACTTTTGTCACAAATTTATTTTTTTACTACTTTTGTAACCTTATTTAGATGTGTTTTTTTAATTTTATTTTGACCATATATTTATTATTTTTGGATTGTTTCATTTTTTAACATTTTTTAGCTTGAATAGTACTCAACCCAAGTCTGTAGGGGTGGCAACAAGTCCGGTTGGGCGGGGACCCCGATCCAAATTCAACGAACATGGATTCAGATCTGACCGAACCCAGACCCAAATAGTTTTTAGGTTTGAAATCAGATCCGACCTATCGGGTCAAATTTTTGGATCCATACCCAAACCTGGATTTAATCTACCTCCTCAGGTCCAGGTTCGATCCGATTCCATTGTTACTCCCACAAGTCAAGCCAAATACTCGGCTTGATTGGGTCTTACCCCCTCAAGTCCCAAGTCCGGTCCGATTCCATTGTTACCCCCCACAAGTCAAGTCGGATATTCGGCTTGAGTTGTTCAATCGAACATCGGCTCTAGGCTCGAGGACCCCTGAATTACCCCTTCTAAGACTTTTCGATTTTTTTTTAGCTTTTACTTTTTTTTTGTTACTTTGTACGACACAGTTTCGTCGTCTAGATCAGAATAAATGATCGAAATGGGGTTTCCGGGGATCCAGGTCTATTTCTAAACCATGGATCATAAAAGAGTAGAATTATTGTAGGGGTTTAGGTTAAACACCATAAATAAGGGAAAAAAAAAAAAACCAAAAAAAGCGACGACTTAGTTTTCCGAAAGTGAAAGCCTTTTTCGCCCCTACACGAATAAAAGCACAACATTTACGGCCTGCACAATATCATCAGTGACAGTATTATCACCGCCCATCAATGGATTGGACGTTAACGGTGGAAAGTGGATCGCAATGTACAACTCAATACTACGTACTTTCGCTTGTCACCCACATGGTCCAGCTAATTGGTTGTACGGCGAGGTTTGTATGAGGGGCCCACTTTGTACAGTATAAGTACAGCGTTTATAAATTTTGTTGGAATCCATATTCAACTGTATATATAGAATTTATTATTAAACAGTACTATAGCTTGAAAAACCATATCCAACTTTTATTATTAAACAGTACTATAGTTTGAAAATCCATATTCAACTTTAATTATACAATTTAAAATTTTTTAAAAAATACAAAAATATTTATAAATATTTGAAAATTTTGAAAATAAAAACCAGATAACTTTAAGACTTGAATTTCTTTTTATGTTTGTACATCTCGAGATGATCTAATGGGAGGTTTCGAAACAATCCTCTATTCTAGATTTTTGAGGAGCGCCCTATGTATGGCTGCAATTTGATATAAACTCTTTCTTAAAGCTAATGGGAAGATACGTAAAAATAGGTTTGTAAATGTAAAAGTCTTTGCTTTTTGCACAAGAGCAATGATCCAATGCAACGGTTGTATTATAATATAATATAAAGATATTTTTAAAAAACTATGTTTGTAGTATTTGTATAATTTCAAATTTTGTACACACTCTTCATCTCAATAATAAATCTCAAAAAAAATAAAAAAGTTCAATTTGAACCTTAGATATGGTCAAAATGAGTTCCCTCTAAAAACGAATCTTGACCATTCATATTATGAATTTCAAGATCTTAGCTTTTAAATACTCAAAATCATATATATATATTTTTAACATTGTTCATCTAATGATAATAAAGCCATCGAAAAAAATTGGAAATGAAAAAATCTTTCTAAGGCCTAGATCGAAGCATCTCACCAAAATGAATGGCCTATGCTAATTGGGCTAAAAAAATACTTTCTAGGTTGTGTTTCAATTTTTTTTTTTTTGTGATTGTTCGTTAGAATGAAAATAGTGTATATTGCAAAATTTGGATCAAACAAATAGCCATAAGATTGTTTTTTAAAATTGTTACATTATATTACTATACAACTGTGGCATGAAATCATTGCCATTATGCAGGGACATTGCAAAAGAGGGCAATTATAAAATGGATATGAACAGTCATTACATGAAGGAATAGACATCATATCTTTCACAACGGCCTATTTGACTTTGTTATTTGTTTTAATTTAAGAAAAAATATATTCTTATTTTCTATATTTTACTTCTATATCTTATGAGACTCAATGATTGAAAATATTGTTTATAAGATAAGGATCTTTTATTTTTTCTATCTTACAACCTCTTGACTTTTTTGAACATAAATGTTTTACCCAAAGAAATAAAAAAATGACACCATCTCCAAAAATTTTCTTTTCCATTAAATGTTAATCCTTTGAAGCACCCTCTCTCTCTCTCTCTCAAATCACTATCTCTCTCTCAAAACTCCATCTCTCTCTTTCTAAAATCCAAAGTTGCAGAGAAGTTCCTCTCTCTATACAGTTTCTCTTTCTCATCTTTTTCTCCCTCTAAAAATTATCTAATCCCTTTTGCACCCCCAATATATCACAAACTCTCTAAAAAATGGCTACATACTTTTTAGACAAAGAGAGAGGAGAGAGAGACGATGTAGAGAGGGGAACTTTTATGTAATTTTAGATTTTAGAGAGAGAGAGAGAGATAGAGTTTGGAGAGAGAGATGGTGATTTGAGGGAGAGAGGATATTTCAATAGATTAACGTTAATAGAAAAGGAAAAATTTAGATAGGGTATCATTTTAGTGTTTCTTTGGGTGAAAAATACATGGTCAAATAGGTCTAGTGGGTTGTACGATGAAATATTTTGCTTATGAGTAATATTTTTAATCCTTAGACATCATGAGATATAGAAGTAAAAAATAAAGGATAAGCACATATTTTCCCTTAATTTAAACTAATAAATAATATCGAAAGTAGAAAATGGCCATAATTTTAAAGGAAAATAGTTTGATAGGGCTGCAGCCCTATCAAAATAAGTAAAGCCTCACCACATATCTCATCAAAAATTACAATTCAAATACTAAAAAACCTTTATATCGACCATCTTGGCTTGAACATTATGGTTGTAAAAAACAAAAACAGGAATTTAAGCTCTAAAAAAGGTGCGATTTGTATAGATCTCAGGCTCTAAACAATCCAATTAGAGACCACTTTTAAATAGTGTCGAGAAACATGGTTTCAATACTGGAAATTTTTGTAATAGCCATAAGATATACTTTCATCTTTAATTATAAAATTTAAAGATTAAAAAATAGTGTAGATCAAACAAATCTATGAAAACTTGAAAATCATGAAAATCTTGAAAATTGACGGTCAAAAAATATGCTCCACAATACACTATTTCCAAAACTTGAAATCCTGTTTTTCCTCATGTCTATGCATCTTAATGTCAAGATACATTCAGATGATCAATTTGAAGATATTTGGGCATCAAAACAACCTCTTCTAGTGAAATTTTTGAGGTAGGCTCTAATTTGATTGTTTAGAGCCTCGGCTATGTATAAACTTTTATCTAAAAGTAGTGTCTATTATAACAAATTTTTTAGACCATCCATTTCCCCCTAAAAATAGATGTTCATAGATTTATAAGATCAGTACCATTTTTTGAGTTTCAAAATTCAATTCGAAATTGATTTAAGAGCCATCATGTAAATTTATGTCGCTGAAAGTGCTTTCCAAATGAGGATTTGAGGTGAAACTTTGTTTTGATTTCATAAACCTTAGCCCTTGTAGAAACCTCACCTTAATTTTAAAAGGCCATGGCTAGCTCGCATAGTAACTTGCGTCACCCACTACTTAACTTTCAGTCACCACCGTCCAACAAAGTTGACCGGTGGGTGGCGAAAGTTCATATACATGTCGACATGCATATGAACTTTTTTTATTTTAAAATAACGGAAATTTATTATCAATCATTTCTATAATTCTATAAATTTTCATCAAATTGCTCCTTTGAAAAACTATGGACATAGGTGTGATCTCAAGTAATTGCACACAACCACTCCTTCATAATCAATCTCAAAAAAAAAAAATGCCAAATTCGCATCCAAAAATTTTCAAAATTAACCCCATTTCATTGGGATAAAGCTGGGATATCATTGAGATTTATGGCCTTTGATTTCTCAAAAATTAATTTCTTTTTTAAAATTTATTTATATAATAATGATAACGCTCTTTATAAAAAAATAATTGGGGCAAGAGAGACCAACCAAAAAATAAGATAAGAGGAACCACCTAATGCCCAAGTTTAAACCTCTTATCCATTGGATGGCGCGCACAAGGAAAAAACAAAACACATTTCTCGTCGACAGGTACGTGCCTCGTCATGTGTGCCTTCTTTTTCCGGGGTACCTATTTCTACCGAATTATATAACTTAACGCCTATAATATGCTCCATTGGGAGCATATTATTTACCAACTCCTTAGATTAGAAGAACTATTTGGAAAAATTATTTAATCTAAAATACTGTCAGCCACCTAAGAATCAATTGATTATCATTTTCATAAAAAGCAAAGTCAAATATTGATTTTTTTAATATTTTACTCTCCACCATAACGGGTCTCTCTTCAATCTTGAGATATTATTATTTCTTAGATGTATAGAGAGTGCAAATTTGAAATCTTTTTATTGAGGTTAGTATATGATTAAAGAGGTTTTATACCCAGATTTTGAGGTCTTGAAATTACTGCTAGATTTTATTATGAAAACATCTTTGGTGAGTGGGCTGCCTCATCTGTTGTCGTGTGGTCTCCTTTTAAAATCGTCTCAAATTTGGAATTTGGGTCCAGAATTTATGATTAACTAATCTCAGCATGATGATGCTTATGCATCTGAAATTTCTTTTTTTTTTTCAAAAAATATAGGTAGTGCTTGTCAATTTAATTCTTCAACCATCCATTTTGACTTTTTGTTGATGCACTATTTTTTTACGTCCATCTTAGAGATGGTTGTTTGATACGCGCAACCATAGTTAAATCGGCCGACTCACCAAAACCGTGCCTTTTTGTTTCGGACACAGGCATGATTCCTATTAGTCCATGTAAAAATGAGTCACCTCTTAAAAATTTATTTTTTAAATGGATTTTTTGATCTAATTTTTAAGTAGGTGTAATCTCTATCATGGAGATCATGAATTTGAAAAGAATAAATAAATTTTTACAATTAAAAAAAATAATTCTATTAAAAAAACGTTGAACCTTTAGTTTTAATTGTTTTTAGATGGACCTCTTATTTGTATCATCTTAAGAGGGATGGGACCGCAAATGTAGAAATGCGGCTGCCCCCACCGGATGAAACAAATGTCCTTTTGTTTCATACTCTTTCTCTTACCTTGTCTGTGAAGAAGACCCTATCCTGGGGATTGTCACAGTGGGCATGAACCCATGAGTTGCATGTGATTTGGATAGGGCCTTGATCGAATCCTTCAAGCACTATGCTCTTGAAGTACGTCTCTTTCTGGTGCTCATTCCGAACCAACACCGCGCCCACTGCCCCAAAACTAGAGCTCACTTTGAACTCACCCTCATAGACCACCAAGTCATCGTCGGCTGCACTCCTGTGTATATACCCCTTTATCGTCGGCTTCTGAAGCCCCGTTTCTGAAACCCGATTTTCACAAGGATTTTTTTAAAACTCTCTGGTGAGAGACAGAGATATAGATACAGAGAGAAACGTTAAGGACATAATGATATCTCCAAATCATCAAAGCACTCTCACACACAGTAATGCACAGAGAAAATTTTGATACTGTTCCGACACAAGCACTCTTCTCAGGGAGGGAGAGCCTTCAATCAGATTTTGACATTCCCTCTTTCTCTCTTTCTCTCTCTGTAAATTTTGATATTTTCTTCACTCACAGACAAAAGAGCAGAATGCCCCTCTGTAAATTATAATATTTTCTCCACACAGACAAAAAGAGAATGCATGAACCAAATTTTATATTCCTCGTTGTAAGAGAAATACCCAAATTTTATATTCCTCCTTGTAAGAGAAATATCCCTGGACCTCTCTGTAAATTTTGATATTTTCTCCTAAGACAAAAACAGAAGAATCCCTCAACCAAAGTTTATATTCCTCGTTCACAGACAAAAAATCCTTGGAGCAAATCTTATATTCTACGAACTAGAGAGAGATGCTCTAGCTAAATTTTATATGGACTTGTTTTTTATGGGGCCAAGCGATACAGCTTCTTAATAAGTCTATTTTTTAGATGGATTTTAAGACTTAATTTAATTTTTAAAGACATGTAATCTATAAAAACGGAGATCATAATATGAATGAATAAATAAATTTTAAAAACTATAAATAATAATTTGAGTAAAAAAACATTTAGACAGTCAGTTTTCATTGTTTTTAGATAGAACACTTGAAGATGGATGCTTTACGCTTTTTTGGACCGCATAAATAGAAAAGCAGTCTAACCCGCATGGAATAATTTTTTATTTTATATTCTCTAAAGAGAGACTGCTAAACCCAAGGTCTCATTCCATCCACCCAGAGAGAGAGAGAGAGAGAGAGAAACCAAGTTTCCATACTGCCTTGTAGAGAGAGAGACCCAAACCATGTTTCCTTTCTATCTAGTAGAGAGAGAGACCTAAACCATGTTTCCATACTGTGTAGTAGAGAGAAAGAGAGATTTCCACTTACGAGGATCCAACTCGTCACTAACAAGCTCCAACCTCACCGACTTCCCCAACACATCCAAGATAGCATCCAACCCTCCGCTCAAGCCAAGTTTCCTCAACACCCCACCCACCGTCGCCTTCACAGTCGCCTTCACCGTCACCGTGGCAACCTTCTCCACGGGCTTCATGCTCACCGGATTCTTCCTCGACACTGCATAGACCTTGCCTGTACCCGCTTTCCGGCGGGCTCCCGGCCATGATCCCGGCCGATTGAGCCGACCCAACGAGCCACAGCTCGGCCTCAAAACCAGCTCCGGAACCACTAATAAAGCTCGGCTCGAACCGGCTTGGAGCTGCGAATTCATTATCTTTGCTCAATTCTATGTCTCTGTTAAAATGAACTCTGGTTTGGGTTCTATTGGCTTCACTTTTCTACTGAGCCCAATCCATCGGTATTTGTAGACAAGTTCCACCCTTCTCTCCCCCCCGCTGCTTACGTCTTTCGTTTGTACCTTTCAAAATGAAATTACGTCCTTTCCGAACTAAGTTCACAATTTCGGCAAATGAAATTTTGGCCTTGGATTTTGGTGCATTTCGGCGAATAGAGGAATGGTATATCTCATGATCGCTAAAAGGTTTCCTCCTTTTAAGGAGGGCAAGAAAAAGTTTATAAAAAAATGGTACCTTATAATGTAGAAACTTCGGAGGCCCCTCAAAAATCCATTCGAAAAAGGCCGTTTTAATGTTGAAAACCCTTTAGATGATCATCTCGACATCGAGATGTATGACTATGTAAAATAAAAAGATTTTCAGTCTAAAAAATAGTACATTTTACAACATATTATCTACACCGTCCATTTTCAATATTTTCATATGTTTATGGATCTACTTAATGTTAAAAAAATATCTCTTTATCCTCTATTTTTAACTTTTATAATTAATGAGACTCAAGAATTGAAAATATTACTTTAGCAAAAAGTCTTCATCTTTTCTATCTTACATCCCTTGGACCCTCTTGATTATAAATTTTTTACCCAAACAAACAATAAAATGACACCCTACTTAAACTTCATCTCTCTCTCTCTAAAACTCCATCTCTTTTTCTCTCGCTAAAACTCCATCTCTCTCTCTCTTTATTTCTCGGTGAGTTTACCCGCCAAGGGGTTTAGCTTGAGCTCGAATACGAGCACACCTTCTTATGTGTGTGATAGCGATGGAGTTTTAGAGAGAGAAAGAGGAGTTTGAGTTTTAGGGAGAGAGACGGAGTTTTGAGAGAGAGAGGGAGACGATGATGTGAGAGAGCGATGGAGTTTGGGTTTTAGAGAGAGATGCAGTTTTGAGGGAGAGAGACGATGATGTGAGAAAAAAAGATGGAGTTTTAGATAGAGAGAGAGTCATTTGATAAGTTGTTGAAGTCAATAATACTTAGTTAAAAGGGTTTAGGGGATTGGAAAATAGAAAAGATGAAGACTTTTTGCTTTCAAGTAACATTTTCAATGGGTTTAGGGGGTTGGAAAATAGAAAAGATGATGACTTTTTGCTTTCAAGTAACATTTTCAATTGTTGGACTGATGAGATATAGAAGTTAAAAATAAGAGATAATAGAATATTTTATATTTAAAATTTTATAATTAGAAGTTAATAACAAGATATTTTAAATTTTAAATTTTATAATTAGATATAAAAATAGATTTTGAAATAATCTTAAAAACATTTTGCATCAAATCATATACCATGATAAAATATGATAAAATTTGAACGTGCACCGTACCACTACACCTGCGGATGCATCCGTATGGAAACTGCACCCATATTCATATCTATTTCGTACGTGGAGCAAAACATTGCTTTTTGGATCTCAAAATTTGGACGTATTTTTACATTCAGGTTAGGAAAAATAGGACGGTTCAAATCCTAGTCGCATGGCTAGATTCAATTAGATCGGAATCAGTCACCGGTCAGTATTGGTTTCGGCTACTTTTGGTGCACTAGCTGGGTAGTTTCAAAAAATTTCAAAAAATATAATCTATAATTCTAAAAAATAAGGGATTTTGTTTGTAATTTAATTTTTAATGTTTTTATCAGTTTGGTAAAGATTGGAAATTGTTTTAACCATTAATACTTATTTTTAACATTTTCTCATCTTTTTTTAGAAATTCAATAATACTCTAGGGCAACAATTGATTCTTTAAAATCTATTTTTTCATTAATTTTTAATTTCACTTAGATGTGCTTTGTATAATCATACTTTAAATATACTTCTTTATATTTTATTAGATTTTTTTATTTTTTAACTCTTTTTTAAAGGCTTGGGACTTGTCCGTTTAGGCCGTTTGAACTGGTCGGTTTACCGATTAGGCTGGTTGAATCGCTTCCGACCCCATGTCTGGTTAACCGTTCCGGTTCGATTTTTCCTACACTATTTACAACTCATATAATAATCTGGGTGAAGGAATTTTTTAAATAAACTCTCTTAATACTAAAAAAACTTATGCCTCATAATTGAATTGAGATGTACAATTTTTGAAGGACAATATTTAAGTGTCCCAAAACTAAAAATGTAATACAAAATTTAAAATGTAATTTTTTTTTTCCTTTTTAAAATAATCATCTAATAATTATATGTTTTCCAAAATTTTAGCTTAAAAAAAATCTCTTAAATAGATGTTTTAAGCGAGGGACTAATTGCTCACTAATGCTTCCGCAGGAGTATATTATATGCCCTCGTTACGATACATCATCATGTGGACAGATTTGCAACTACTTTTGGTGCACTAGCTGGGTAGTTTCAAAAACTTTCAAAAAATATAATCTATAATTCTAAAAAATAAGGGATTTTTTTTGTAATTTAATTTTTAATGTTTTTATCAGTTTGGTAAAGATTGGAAATTGTTTTAACCATTAATACTTATTTTTAACATTTTCTCATCTTTTTTTAGAAATTCAATAATACTCTAGGGCAACAATTGATTCTTTAAAATCTATTTTTTCATTAATTTTTAATTTCACTTAGATGTGCTTTGTATAATCATACTTTAAATATACTTCTTTATATTTTATTAGATTTTTTTATTTTTTAACACTTTTTTAAAGGCTTGGGACTTGTCCGTTTAGGCCGTTTGAACTGGTCGGTTTACCGATTAGGCTGGTTGAACCGCTTCCGACCCCATGTCTGGTTAACCGTTCCGGTTCGATTTTTCCTACACTATTTACAACTCATATAATAATCTGGGTGAAGGAATTTTTTAAATAAACTCTCTTAATACTAAAAAAACTTATGCCTCATAATTGAATTGAGATGTACAATTTTTGAAGGACAATATTTAAGTGTCCCAAAACTAAAAATGTAATACAAAATTTAAAATGTAATTTTTTTTTCCTTTTTAAAATAATCATCTAATAATTATATGTTTTCCAAAATTTTAGCTTAAAAAAAATCTCTTAAATAGATGTTTTAAGCGAGGGACTAATTGCTCACTAATGCTTCCGCAGGAGTATATTATATGCCCTCGTTACGATACATCATCATGTGGACAGATTTGCAACTACTAAAATTCCACTCTGCGCTCCTTGTAACTGTCCAGCGCACGTGCAAGGGATTAACCTTGAGCCTCACTAGTTGTATGTTTCACATTTGGCCATATTTTATTGGACCAAAAAGGATAGATAATGTGAGGCACCCGCCTATTGATTAAAAACATATTGTCCGATTAACATAATCAAAGTCTTTTTTCAAATTAATTGGGTGAGCTTCATCAATTTTAGTCCACCATTTTGTTCTATTATTCTGAGTGAGGCTATAGGTTCCTGTATCTTGTCTAACTATTTTCAACCATATCTTTTTACGATTACAGCTTGCATTTTTTTTTAATTTCTCACTCAAACTAACTTGCATCTTCTAATAGATGTTGTACTAGGTCTATGGCCAACCCACCTAAATCTATTACCTCTTTTCTTATCCCCGAAATAATTTAGTATTGTTAAAAAAAATTGGAGGCCAAAAATTGGGTTAAAATAATATATGGCTAATAATTAGATAAGTTTACGAATCCTGATTATGTTAGATTTGGCTAAAACATAAATTAAAAAAATCAAATTCGTAAAGATGACGTGAAATAAGATTATGATTTGGAGCTATTGTAGGATACATTAAAGTCATTGAGCAATAATTTAATGTTCTTATCTAGTATCAATATTGTAGTACTTGATAAATTTTTGTCTTTTTTTAAAAGAAAAAATTTATATAAGGATGCAATCTTATAATGTAGAACTACGGATGCACCTCAAAAATCCATTGGACAATGTAGTTTTAATGTTGAAAAACCATTTGATTGATTATCTCGACATCGAGATGTATGAGAACTATGCATTTTACAACATATTTACACCGTCAATTTTCAAGAATTTTATATATTTATAGATCTACTTGATTTTAATCATTTTTTAAATTTAAAAATTTATAATTATATATAAAAATAGATTTTGAGATAATCCTAATAACATTTTACATCAAAATTCTGTACCATGATAAAATTTGATGGGCACCGTACCTCGGGTCCGTATGCCACCTGCACCCTTATTTCAAAGTGCTCTTTACTTAGACTATTTAGAGCTGGAAAAATCTTCCAAAAATCTTATCAGCAATGATTTAAAAAGCGGATCGGTGACCTGGATCGGGCACCTCAAAAACCGATCCGGATCGACGAATCGGCGATCCGAATTAGGAATAGGCTGAATCGGCCGGATTAAAGCTTAAAAAAAATCCGAAAAATTTATTAAAATTCATTATAAATGTTGTTTTTTAGGAATCCAATAAGAAATGAGGGTACTACATTATTAACTTTCATTTCTTTAATCAATTTGTGAATATTGAGATGCTCTTTCCCTGTATAAACTTAAGTATTAAATTTGCATCACATAAAAGAAAAATCATAGCATTATCATGGATAAAATATATAATTATACATGGACTATAAAAAAGAGTAGATTAAATCAATGAAAAAATGGCCATTAAAATCTCGTTTTGGCAAAAAACCCTAATCCGCTAAAAAAACCCAAATTATTACAGCCTAACTAATTATAAAACAAAATTATTACAACCTAACTAATTATAATATTATATACTGAAATTATAATTATTAGTTTACATTTTATAATTATTTTATTAGATAAATAATAACAAATTAATTTTTTTTATAATATTATCTAATTTAAATGTATTATTGATGACTGTAAGAAAAATAGTACGTTACATGATTTATAATGTAAAAATTAATAAATAAAATAAAAGATTTGGTTATCAATGTAAAAATTAATAAAATACGTACAAATTTTGAAAATAACACGAAATAACACTTTAATTTATTATATGCCCAAGGGGGAACAAAAATTAGCTCAAGAAGGGATAAACTATTATATAGCCCAAGGGAGAATTCAAACTTTAGAAGTCA